GGATGCTGTCTAACGCGGTTCATAAATCAGAGTGGTGATATTCATCACAGGAATAAATAATGGATTTGTGGAAATAAACTATCTTCCTGGTGTTTGATTTTCTTTAGAAACCCACAGGGAGCATCAAACTTTTACTGGAAGACATGATGGTTTACTGGTGGAATAGTGAGATGTCAAGATGGCTTTCTGGCCAGCCAGAGTTTAGATAAGATGGAGAAAGACCCAGAGAGTAGCAGATGCAGAGCTGCTGTGATAAAAACAAATTCAGCCTGTTAATTTCTCCCATCTCGTTACAAACTGATGCAGAATCTCCTCCGAAGTAAAACAAACATTTGAGAAGTTTTGCAACATGTTCTTGAGTAGGTTTTTAAAACAAGACACCAGCCTGAAAATGTGGATATTTATCCCCAAGTGACAGACACGCAGGGAGTTTATGATCTAAGCCAGTTTCACCAGTAATGTGACACTTCATTTTATTCTTACATTGCTTCAAAAGCAACATCCATGGATAGATTTTAGACTGGAGAAATGTGCCAATCTAAGATGAATCTGGTCAAACAGACTATTTTTCCCACATATATCTAAGAGAAGGCAAAACTGAAATGAAGATTATTCATTTCATCTTAACGAGGGACAGTCTTCCTCACAGCTCTGACGCAGTGAGGCCTAGTTCATGTCTGTTTACCCAGATAGGATGAATACTTTAACAGCATCTTTCTGCAGCTCAGGTAAACACATTCCCAAACGGAGCAGAGACAACAAGAACGTGAATACATTTTCACTCATTCTGATCAAAGACTTTCTTGTTCCTTTTTCACCAGCCCAGTCGATGACTTCTGTCAAAGAGCAGCACTGAAACGACAACCACCAAAACCTACAAACAAACTGATGCACATGTAAACTAGAGCTGCCCAATATTTTAAGATTGCAATTAGCATTGAAATGTGAATCTGAGCAACATCACAATCACAATTGGATCCAATATTTGGTAGGCTGTAGGGCAGCATAATATTAAGAAAATGTCAATTTGTCAATACTTTTGCTGAATTTGCTATAACAATTTTGATTACTAATAACTCACATTTCTTCTCTGACCCTACACATCAACTGAGGGCATTCACATCAGAGTCCCTGTAAACTGAATGCTTTGCGCTCGTCTTATCTCACGTTCAATGCATTCAAACTCTTGATAAATCCAACTTCTTGGATTTACTTTCCCAGTCCTCTTCTCTCTGCTGACATAGATTTTAGTTACTGAGATCCACAGAAAGATTAGTGGCCATCGTATTCATGGAGGAAAAGAATACTTACTTTAACAGTGACAAGTTTCCCTTTATCCAGTGATCAGGCGTCACCTCATAATCAATATGACCCTGCGTCCTCAACCTAGCTTTAAATTTGTCTTACAAACCTGAGCAGACAACCAACACTTAACTCTTTTTATAACAATTTAATAATTAAAACTAAAACTACAAAAACTCAATTCGAAACATTTGTTAATTCATTCTGACAAACTTCTCAAATAATAAGGTCAAATTTTGAGCTGATGTCTTCCACTTCCCTGTCTCACCTGCATGAGAGCGTGTGATAAATGTGTTTCATGGAAGACGTTAGGGAAACTCCCTACAGGCTCCTCCTTCAAATCTTTCGGTTCCATTGATTATTTCAAGTGTACACAGCATTTAAGGCTAATCGACTTTAGTCACATCCACAGAAAGCATCTGACTTACGGTAGCTCTGTCAGTATGAGTCAGTCTGCAGCTGCAGGTTGAGCTCCAGTCACTAGATTTGCCATTATGCTACCGGCGGTGTCGCCCCCTCAAAAGCAGACTTTAATTTACCATTGCAACGTTTCAGTTTTCAAGAATTTTCAATAATAACTTAAACACACCCATGGTGTAATTATTATCCATCTCATTCATTCCTATTAGCGACATAAGCAGGGATTATTAAGTTCTTCAACAAAACCACGTCTGAGTCACCTGAAAATAAGTGAATGTGTGCCAATTAATGTTCAAGTACCTAAATACAGCAGCATGTTACATTTCCGAGCAAATGCTTAAAATCTACATGCCATAAAAAATGTGAAACAGTATAATTTAGATTCAGGGATTAACTGCAATAATATTCAATTTAAAAATAATACAACTTCAATACCTGTTACACAGCAGTATATGATCTATACTGCACGATGTTAGTTTGCACAACCATCATCATGCATCTTTATTGCAATATGCAAAAGAATGTGTGATTATAAATATAATCTAAATTGTAATCATATTTAAGTTTCTTTGTAATTATTTTCTCCTGCAAATGTCACATAGAAAATTATTTACAATTCGTCAAAATCCTGTAAACAATTATATAAATCAACTTAAAAACAACAACAAAAAAAGGATATTACTCCCCCCGCCCCCTTTTAACTGACTGAAACGCTCTCGTTTTCAATATTGGACCCAAATCCATAGCATCTGATTTGATCATAGATTATTGATTACATAAATAAAGTCAGGATTTTGAATTAAAAAGGTGCAGCTGTTTGTAGTTTCAGGTAGTTGACCAGGTCACTGAGACATTACACCAACGCCTGATTGATCCATCACCTACGGATCAATCAGTCAGTAAATCAATCAATCAGCCAGCAGCTTTGAGTCACTGACAGGTTATTTATCAGTGCGGGTGTTCGGATTTTCTTTTTACTATTATTGGTTTTGTCCGTGCAAATACACGATATGTTCCGTGTTTAGGTACCATTAAGTAGCCTCACTAGCCTTTGCTGGCCAGGTGTGACCAGTACACAAAGCTATATTAGTTTGAGGGATTCTGGTCACGCAGATGAAACTTCCCAGAGATGTTTCTGTAATGGCAGCTAGTAAGCAGCAGCTTCTTAGCAATAGCGGGTGAACTTAGGGTACTTTAGTTCAAACTCACCGGGTTAAGTCAACGGAGGGACTTCCAGCATCCGAATCTTCTGGACCTCCGGATGACGGAGAAGGAGCTATGTTCTGTCCGAGTCTTTTGGATCTCCAGCAGCTCGGTTCTGTCCGTCCAGAAAGCGTTAGCAGTTAGCAGCTAGCGTTCGCTGCTGGAGCGCCAAAAAACAATCACAACTTCTTTCAAAGGCCGCTAACGCTCCTCTTCACGGGAAATAAAGTACCAGAACCGGTCACAATCCATCGGGAGTCCGTAGTGGGTCACTATGAGCTCCGAGGTTCCTTCGAAAAGAACTTTTTCTGCCTAAAAAATAAGTTTTGTGAACTCGCTAAATCTTTCCGCTGCTAGCTGTCTGCGGGGCTAACTCACTGCTCAACTTCCGGCTCAGCAGCGGCCTGAAGCGCATGCGCAGAGAGTAGGGTAAGGGCCTAGGACAAAACAGACTCACACAACAGAGACGCAATGACTCACAACAGACTTACTATAACACAAGGTAGACAGAATAAAACACAGGACTCTCGACATATCACAAATCAGACTCCTAATATCACAACACAGACCTAATAGCAGACAACACATCAACAATGACAGACGACAGATTCACAATCACACACAAGAGTTAGTAATACAACGGTATTTCAAAAGCAAAACAGACTCGCAGTGTGACACAGCAGAAAAATACCACATAAACCCATATTAATATAATCGTCACAGACACACCAGAACAAAGGGATTCACAATAACATGCAATATAACAACTATCAATGTAACATACATAGAAGCGCAACAACAAACAACAAACCAAACATGTGAGCCAAGCCTTTTCACATAACAGATGTGATGTACTTCTGTTAACTGTACTTTTACAACTCCTACGTGCAAGAGTGTGGTGTCATTACAGTTTTGCTGTTGTGCATTTCCATGTTTGTCACTGTGTTTTATAATTGATAACGTGTTTTTGTAGTGTTACATCATTTTTACAGTGTTTTTCCAGAGAAAATTGCAAGGTGATGCAATGTGTTGTAGATTGTTTTCCTATTAGTGTCACATACTATTGTGGCATTATTGTAGTAGCTTTGCTGAGTTGTTGCAATGTTATCACGGCTTTGTTGTAGAAATAACACAGTATGGTTAATTTTTTGTTAGAGTAATCTTACAGTATTGTTGCACTGGTTTCACAGTGTTTTTTCAGGGTTGCTACCGTTCTACTGGAGCATTTTTGCCGTGCCAATGTGACGTTGTTAAGGAGTGGTTGCAGAGCTATTGCAGTGTTTTTACAGCGTTTTCATTGTTGTTGCGTTGTTGATTCAGTGTCTTAGAGTTGTTGCAGTGTTTTTACAGTGTTGCGTTATTTGTGCTGCATTCTTAAAGTGTTAGGACCTATTTGCAGTTTTGCTGCCGTGTTGCTTCAGAACAGCTGCAAGGATGCCGCAGTGTTGTAGCATTGTTACAGTGCTGGTATGCGATCTGTGCAGTTATGGTATAGCATGTTTACAGTGTTGTTGCATTTTTGTTGCAGATTTGTTCCTTTCTTGATATTGTTTAGCAACTGTGGAGTTAATGTAGCATTGTCAGTTGATAAATAGTTTCTGCAGTATTTTTCCAGTGCTGTTATTTTGCAGTACTAATGCAGCATTAGCAAAGTGTTGTTACATCAAGCTTGCAGTGCGGAAGTGTTGCAAAGTTTTTCCAGTTTCATTTTTTTTGTTTCGGTTGATGTTATTTTTTATTTTAATGTAACTTTTTTTTTTTGCAACTTTGTATCTGTGTTGATTCTAGGTTACTCAGTTTTATTACATTTCTTGCATCATTGTTTTGAAGTTGTTACATAGCTGTTCCAGTGTTGTAAGATGGTTAAAGAGATGCTACAGTGATGTTAAGCGATTTTTGTAGTGTGGCTGCAGTGCAGTTACAGTGTTTTGGCACATTGTGGGAGTGTTCTGCAGCATTGTAAAAATGCTGTAACTGTGTTTTTGACATGTTGCAATGTTGATGCCGAGTTGCCTACTTTTATGTCTCTTGGAGCAGATTTGAATCAGCTCGGATCAATAAACACAGAAATCGGATATTTGTGCACGTGCTGTGTGTTTAATGAGCTGTTCACAGACAAATATGTTTAGGTACAGTCCACAGAACCTCTACAAGTACAGTAATGGCTTTAAGCAGATCTGCAGTTACAGGTTAAGGTAGAAGAAGATGAACAGGTAACATACAGGCGCTGCTGTTCATCTGTATAAACACGTTCAATGAGGAGCTGAGTCTGCTGTTGTCTGAACAAATGATTAGCAGCTGGAGGGTGCACTGGTGATCGAAGCTGATCAAAATGTTCAGTCTCCTGAGGCTGTTTCCACCCACAGCTTCATTGTGACACAGAAACACAAAGTACAACCACAGACACACTCCAGTTCACGTTACATAAATTATCATAAATCTGCAGAATAAAATATGAACATTGATAGAAAAATAAATGGCTGTGTTTTTCTGTTAGCTCAACAGTAAATCCGCAGTACAATCACAGCGTCTCTGTGGGAAAGGACCAACACCTCCAATTAGTGATTCCTCTGATGCTTACTGATGACACACGCCATGACCTGTGGCTTACTCACCTCTCTGCCAGGCGGGATTCACATTCTTAGGACGGGGTGACTGAGGGTCTCCTGTTCACTGCGCAGCTTCCGGGCTCTGAGGACATCCCGAATGCACTGATGCAAGTACAAGTACTGACCCTGGTCAGAGAGGAGGTTTGTGTTAGAAACAGTTTGAATGACCAAAGCAGAGCTGTGGGAAATTTAAGCTGTACTCTGAATTGAATTGCCAAATTCAGTACATTAGTGGAGTAGTGGAGAAGATCTGCAGGAGATCACCCAGATTTTACTATCTCTAAGCTACTTCATTGCATCTGCAGACAGGTCTGAGAGAGACATGGTCTCATTGAACCCCTTTTTGGGAAACAATTTTCATCCAGATGTGTGAAAATTAGTATTTTCTAAGATCCATGTCTGCCTGCTCTAAAGGTATGAAACCTCCTGCTGTCAGTAGAAGATAGCGCTCCATTAAATTAAGAAGGTCCTCAGTTCCTAGGTACTGTATGGGGGAATTTAGTAGTACTGCCAACCGCTCTGTAACAAACTTTTTGTTCTGAATTTGTGAAATACTTAACTTTATATTAAAAACAATCGCTTTTTATCAGTACAGCTGCACCATAATGGGGCCCGTTAATCCCAGGATGCATCGGACCCACCTCAGTCTGCACCATGTGTGACCGGTGGAGGCGGAGATCAAAGACGACGCCGTATATGTCTGCCGTGTCCTTTGTGTCCAGCTGCTGCAGCACCCGATCCAGGACGATGAAGGTTCCAGTTCGGCCCACTCCGGCACTAAAACACACGCAGAGGACTTAGTTAAAAGTTGTGAAAACGTAAGAATAAGTAACGTTCAGTACACGGAGATGTAACACCTTGCGCACACCAACAAACTGGGTGAAGATATGAGATGTTTGCTGCTGAAAGAGTTAAAACTTTAAGATGAAAACATACTAAAGTTCATCCACATTCTGACTCTCAAATGAAATTTATTCCACTGCAAGTCATATCAGTGCTGCAAAGATGTGTCAAGGTAAACCACCTGTCAAAATTTTGCATGCAGATCAAGCTCATCATTTAAAAAGCTTCAAATTGATATTATTTTCTTCATATCAGATGGTGGAGAATTTAATTTCAAAGCTTTTTTTTTTACCTGCAATGGACCACAGTGGGACCAGAACCAGGAGTCCTGTTGACGTAGTCACGGACTGTTCGAACAAACTGTATGAGCGACTGTGTGCTCTCTGGGACTCCATGATCGGGCCACACCGTGTAGTGAAACTGCCGAACGAGGCGGACGAAGCTCAGCTGCTGCTCCTGAACACACAGAAATGTGACATCATCGTCGGACCTCACTCAGTGACAGAGAGTGAGGATGTTGCTCCTGCTGGGGGAACATACGCTGCAGATTCTGAACTCTCGGATTGTCCACTCTGGAAGAACCGACTCTGACAACATCTGAACTATGAGATCTCCGTAGTACAGAGGATCCTGATCAAATGGCCAGTAGTGATCACACTTCACCTGGATGGGGAATCAGAGAGAAAACATTGAATCTTTTAAACGCAGACGGCCAAAGGTAGAGTCTCAGAAACTCCTTCAGATGCAACAGCAGTTGGTCATCTCATACTCACCCTGCCTTTCTCCACGCACTGAGTGACCATGACCACATTATGGACGTTCTGCTCCCACACCATCTTCCAGAAGTCATCCTTTGTTCCTGGAAGGGGCCCCTGCGTCGCAATGTACTCCCGGCGGAAATTGTTACCCTAAAAACACAGAGAAAACCAAACACTCAGTTCTGTTGAAACAGGTAGGTGGAGCAAAAGCAGCTTTGAAACGGGATGAGAAGAAAGAAGTCCTGGTGTCTGTTTAAACACAGCATCAAAACAGACTGAACGGTCGAATGTTATATGACCAAATTAAATCTCATATTTACACTTCAGGGAACCGGGGATACTCATTCTAATATTGAGTATTCGACTCATTCTAATATTGAGTCCAAACAAGTTCAGTCTTGGGTCAAATTCTTAGTGTAAACCAAGTCAACAGCCAGTACAAATACTTTCAAAACCAGTGTACAATCAATAAAAAACCAGATCAGAACATGACCCAATCCAAATCCAAGTCTAAGTCAAAGCTCAAGACTTAACACCATAACCAGTTTAAGCCAAGTCAGGACCAAGTCCAAATCCCATCAAAACCAACACGAACAAGCACAAAACTAGTTGAAACAAAACCACACGATTACAGCTGGTCCAAACCCAAATTAAGCTAAAATTCAAAAGTAACATTTAGAACTCAGTGAATAACCACAAGTGGAAATTCAAGTTCATCAAAATACAGCCATAAAGACAGAGCATAAGTCTTAGTCTAAAACCCGTTCATAACCGAAGAAAACCAAAGGGGTTCTGCACAAAATTAAAATGTTGTGAAGGTACTGGCGTCTCACTGGGATGTAGCTGGCATTGATGTAGTCTGAACAGGGATCATCATCCACGTAAGACAGCTTGACCCTCGTTGAGTCATCTGCAAAGAGAGAGAGAGAGAGACGGTAAGACGGAGACACAAATCAGTTGAGCTGAAGGAGAAGCCACTCACAGGGCAAGATGTTGTTGTATCGGTTCTTCCCACGGTTCTCAGGCAGCAGAGCAGAGTCCAGCGGCTGATTACGGCCGACGTCTTTCAGGTCCTGTTGAGGAAAATGAAAGAACCATTTCATATTTACAGCAACAAAAAATGAGAACCATTCTTCAGTTGCTTGCAAAGCTTTTACTCAGACATATGAGTGGAAAAACGAGGAGTCTGAACTCGGTGGGTTCAACAAGTTATCTCCTGGATATGTTATCTAACTAATCCGAAAAGCTCTCTATAGGTCAATGAGGTTTTCTGACTCTGGATCCGTTCACGCTGAGGTAACTCAGATGACCACTCACAATCATGATCAGGAAATACCTTTTTCTAACAAACTGAACAAATATTTGTGCAGAAGATGGTTCTTTCAGACATAAGAAACCTCTGTGACATAAAACCTGAACTACTGGAGCAAAGCAGGTTTCAGTACCAAATTGAGAAATAGGAACAGGAGAACCTGAGGCAACCTGCAGAGCCACTGATTCAGATTCATACTTTAAACTTAAAGTGGTTCCTAAAGCTGAAACAGCTCCTTGACTAGCTGAATGGAAGATGGCGTACCTCGTACTCCTCAGACAGGAGGTAGCTGGAGTCGGCCAGCAGTTTGTTGTAGTGAGATTCAAAGTTCAGGATCTTGATGGGACTGAAAACAACAAACGAAATCACTAAACATGTAAAAACAACAACAAAACTAATTAAAGTCATCAAGATATCTCACCTGGAGATTCTCCTGCTGCTGGGGAACAAGACGAAGAGGCATTAGAGTTTAACAGATCTTCAATAAATATTGCTAAAAACTGATTTAATCTTTTAGAAGAGAACTGATTGATCGGTTCATTTCTGCTTTCATTTTCCAGTTTTCAGATTATTTTCTAAACTAAACGTTAGGGTGTGCAAAAGTTTTCACCAAAAATAAATCAATCTACCAATATACTTATGTATCAATCTGTCTATGGTATTTCTTTGTTACTCTTCTCCGTAGCATCATTAATAAATCTACTGACAGCGGATGGATTTAAATATTTAAAGTTTCTCCGTGTTTAGCTGCGATACCACCTAGTGGCTGTAGATGGAACTCCACTCTGTTTTGGTCAGAGAAAGGCTCATCATCCATAACAGCGCTTGTTTATTGATTGGTTCCTACCCTCTGACTCCCATCGGGACTCCTCCTGCTGATCTCTCTCTCCTTATACATCTCCGGACATCAGGTCTCTCCTCCACCCTGATGGAAACAGCGTCAACAACACCTTTTATGTCGGCTGACATTAGCAGGTGCTAAACATGTGCCATGCACCTGTTACGCATGTGTTGTATTTCTATTACCAGGTGTTGTGTGTGGTACTGTGGTGTGTTGTGTGTTGTACCAGTCAGGCGTTGTGAGTTTTGCCATCTGGTGTCCTGTGTTGTTTGTTGTACTGTTAGGCGTCATGTAGGTGTCAGGTGTACCTTCCACAGGGGCAGGTCTATAGATACTCACAATTTGCGAGCCTTGTGCCTGCAAATGAGGAAAGCAGTGATGGCAACTATCATGAGGATGAGGAAAAGTCCGGCACTGATGCCTTCAATGACACCGCTCAGAGGTTCTGCAAGAAAAAAATAAAATAAATCCATGCAGTATCCCAGTATTTTAACATCATCTCCAGTCCAAACTCCATGTGTTTCATTTAAAAAAAATAAAATAAAAAAAATCTGAGCTAAGGGAGTTTTAACTCTTTAGTAGCCAGTGAAATTTGGCCTGACCTGTTTCCGTGATGATGGGCAGAGATAAGAAGGTGTCAGTGAAGAGAGGAGAAGCTAATCTAGAGTTTGTAGTTTCTTCTTCATCAAGCAGCTGAGTGAAGGCTCGGATGCTGATCCTGAGAGGAGCAAAAAGACAAGACACTAGGGTTCACAGTGAACAACAATCGATTCTTTCTAATTCTCAGTAAGCTCAAGACAAACTAAGCCTTTTTCAGTCCTTACTTTATGAACTGCTGATTAATGGGATTGGCAAAGACACCAGACAGAGAAACATCGAAACAGATTATTTATAGTCTGACCTGTTTGTGTTCAGTACCTGTATGAAGTCTTCGACTTCAGAGGTCCATCACAGAAGTAGATAAGGTCTCTGCTAGACTCTGCATAACTCGGGTCTCTGTGGTCACATGGACCCCCTAGAGAGTCCATCCCAGTCCCAAGGCTGATGTTATAGATCTGAGTGCTGCTCTCTAAGCCATCTGAGCAGAGGCTGGGAAAGTAGTTGGTCTGGTAGGACTTAACTGAGCTGTTGTGTCTGTAGTCCAGGTAGGAGGGCAGAGGGTGGTTATGGTCTGGCTGCAAGTTATTGACACCTACGAGGATGGGTCAGAGGTTGCATGTTACCAAGACTCATGAGCAGGTAAGGCCTTTAAAAGTTAAATTACACATTAAATAATCAGTGTCCAACTAGAACTACAGAGTAGAGTGTTAAACTGCTGTATAACTCATCAAAAAGTCACAAGAGATGAAATCAAAATGTATCTGTTTCATTGTCAGAACCTAATCCACTGACCTAACCAGTTTCTGGTCAGAATTAAAGACGGGTTTTTGGTCATGCTCACCTTCAGATTCAGTCACAACCACAGTAAAGAACCTCACTGCTCCATTGACATCACTGAACCAGCTACAATTAAACTGGAATGATATCGAGGACTTCGTGACCAAAGTGGACTTGTCACTGACCCGGGTAGTCAGTGGGGGCAGAGGAGGGCCTATAGAAAGCATAACAAAAAAACAAATCTGGTTAGCTCATCCACCCTCCCTTTGGCAGACATGCTAAGCTTAATTCTTTCTTACGGTCGATCATTGTGACTACGCTGTCCTCTGCCTCCTCGCTGGTCGTCCCATCAGAAATGACCTTCACAGAGATGGTGTAACGTTTGTGGGGCTCAAGCTGGGTGATGACATAACTGGTGGACTCTCGACTTGTACGCCGTGAATAGACCAGGGTGTGAGTGTCCTGGTGAAGACATTCGATGGTGTAGGAATCATAGTCAGCTTGTGGAGGTCCCCAAGAGCAGGAGATGGAGGTAGAGCTCTGTGGTCGACAGTGGAGGCTCTGGACTCGCTCTGGCTCTGCAGAAGGAAAAGCCTCAGATCAGGTGATGCTGCGTTGCTTGAAAACAGGCTCAGCTCTAGTTTTTTTTTCTGTCAGATTGAAGATTAGACATTGATCACTTTGAGATTGGTCATTCCTCCATTCCTCCGCTCCTAATTCTTCTCACCTGGAAATCTCTTTGGTTAAAATACAGAGACATTTCTGGTGTACCAATACCCAAATTAGTTACAATTTCTTGAAAAAAAAAAAGTGTAGTGCTGCCACCTACTGGTTCGAATACTCTTTTGGATGGGAGTGCTGTAGGTGGCACCGGGCTGCATTGCCCCACTGACAGTTCGAAGGCTGAAGGTGTAAAGTCGTCCTGGGAACATCCTTTTTAGGATGCGGCTGCCTGATGTTTGGCTGTGGTACGGGTTGATAACAGACAGCTGGTCCTTAGGAGTCCACTGCAGGTCGAAGTCATCATAGTCAGAACCTACTGGACCACTCCAGGTGACCTCCAGGGAGGTGTTGGTGACTCCTCCAAACAGGAACGAGGAAGGAGGTTTTGGAGCTATAAGTTAGATGAAATGTTTGAGGACAAATATTTTAGAGTTCTTTCTTGTCTTTGATCTTGAGCAAGTAACTTTGAAAGAAATGATAGAGAAAGATAGAAAGGTAGAAGGAAGAGAAACAAACAAAGGCAGCACACTGCCCAATGTTCCCTATATATATATATAT